GTGAGTTCTAGTCCTGACTTAGCCACGAAAGCTGGCTGGGTGGCTTTGGGCCAATCACTAGGTGATGGTGAATTCTAGTCGAGCCTTAGTCACAAAAGCCGGCTGGGTATCTTTGGGCCAATCACTAGGTGATGGTGAGTTCTAGTCCTGTCTTAGCCATGAAAGCTGGCTGGGTGCCTTTAGGCCAATCACTGGGAGACGGTGAGTTCTAGTCCTGCCTTAGTCACAAAAGCTGGCCTGGTGCCTTTGGGCCAATCACTAGGAGATGGTGAGTTCTAGTCCTGCCTGAGCCATGAAAGCTGGCTGGGTGCCTTTGGGCCAATCACTGGGAGACGGTGAGTTCTAGTCCTGCCTTAGCCAGGAAAGCTGGCTGGGTGCCTTTGGGCCAATCACCAGGAGACGGTGAGTTCTAGTCCTGCCTTAATCAACAAAAGCTGGCTGGGTGCCTTTGATCCAGGCCTTCTCTCTCAGCCCAACCTATCTCACCAGGTTGTCATTGTGGGGAAAATAGGAGAAAAGAGGATTAGATCTGTACACTGCTTTATTTATGGGAACAATACCGGCCAGATAAAATAAATATAAAAACTAAAGGTCACTGGATCCCTCACCACCAGGAGAGCCTTCGGCACAGAACTGAAACGGATCCCAGGAGCCATGCTCTACTACTCTCTTGAAATGTATATTTCCCTTTGAGAAAATATTTCTCTAGCTTTTTTTTCCTTCTGGAGTTAGGCAAAAGAACATCAGCAGACGGTGTAAACCGAGCCGAAATTCACTTCTCCATTACTACCTAATTGCGTGTGTATTTTTTGTGTGTTGCCACAACATTTCCTTCGACTTTAACCGGAAACCCCAATCAAGCCGGTTAAGACTTTAGGCGGAATTCAGAACCAATTAATTTAAAAAAAAGCAAAAAAAAACATCCTTTTTTTTTTAAAAAAAAGCTCCTTTAGAGCTTTCCGGGGACGTATTTGTTTCTCTTAAGCGGGCATTAATTACATTAATTCAGGAGAAAATTAAGGCACAATCAGCAGAATTACCAAGGGGTGACCCTCCAAGGAAATTTTGATGAGAGGAGAGGGGAAAAAAAAACCCACCAGCCGTTCATGGGAGTTTTATTCCTGCTTCTGAATCGACAAACACAGAGCGTCCACTGGTCAAAGCGAAAGCGGCAAGCGGGGACCCCGCACGCACAATTTGACGAGATGCCCCTTGGGAAGGTGAGCACGTGAAAAGTAGCACAGGTGTGAACGATTGTGCATTAATTTCCCCCCCCCGTGGAAATTCAGCCTTGCGAAGTGGAAACGGCCGTTTTCCCGGGCAACGGCTAGACAGAATTATTGTTATTTCTGGTTCAGAACTGGCCAACAAAATATTGACATTTTCGTTATTTATTGTCCAGGGAAAATGTTCCGCGTCTAAATAATTTCCGTACGGGCTCCTGCGATGGCAAGGCTGCGGAAAACCGCTCAAAAGGCTGAACATCAATGTGAATCAATTTAATTTGGATCAGAATAAGGGCATGCGCTGTGATCTCTTGGGTTTGTTACAAAGCAAACACAATATCAAAGCCGGCTGGGTGCCTTTGGGCCAATCACCGGGAGACGGCGAGTTCTAGTCCCGCCTTAGAGATGAAAGCCGGCTGGGTGCCTTTGGGCCAATCACCGGGAGACGGCGAGTTCTAGTCCCGCCTTAGAGATGAAAGCCGGCTGGGTGCCTTTGGGCCAATCACCGGGAGACGGCGAGTTCTAGTCCCGCCTTAGAGATGAAAGCCGGCTGGGTGCCTTTGGGCCAATCACTAGGAGACAGTGAGTTCTAGTCCCACCTTAGACATGAAAGACAGCTTGATGACTTTCTGCCAATCACCAGGAGACGGTGAGTTCTAGCGCCACCTTAGGCATGGAAGCTGAATCTATTTGCTGCCTTGAGTCATTGGTAAGCGGAATAAAGGCGGGATATAAATAAATCAGGCTACATTAGGAAAAGCTGATTCGAAGAAGGATCCGAAAAGTGATGGGCCGTCCTGGGGCCCTCCGGTGTCAACCTAAGTTATTCCTTGCTAAGCCTCAATTGTGTAAACCCGGGGCACAAAAGATCTCGTACCGCAAGAGGACACAAACAAACAAGGCTAAAGTCCCCCCAATTTCAGGAACGAACACCCCACAAAGGATTACCAAGCCGAGCAAAGATCAAGAGGGTATGTCAACGCTGCTAACGTCCGGATGATCTTGCTTTGACAATATATAAAGATGCTGCTTCACTCTTAGAATTAGGTGACGCTGGGGGAGCTGGAGGACTGTGGTGGGAGTGAGTTAGACATAACCATCTTGTACTAGTTCTACATTTAGGTTCTACATTTAGGCAAGAAAAACCAAATGCACAGGTATAGTATAGGGGGTAGCTTGCTCAATAGTAGTAACTGTGAGAAGGGACCTCGGAGTCCTAGTGGACGATCCCTTAAATAGGAGCCAGCCGTGTGCTGCAGCTGCCAAAAAGGCCAACACAGTGCTAGGCTGCATCAACAGAGGGATAGAATCAAGATCAGGTGAAGTGTTAATACCACTTTACAAGGCCTTGGTAAGGCCACACTTGGAATACGGCATCCAGTTTTGGTCACCACGATGTAAAAAAGATGCTGAGACTCTAGAAAGAGTGCAGAAAAGAGCCACAAAGATGATTAGGGGACTGGAGGCTAAAACATATGAGGAACGGCTGCTGGAATTGGGTATGTCCAATTTAATGACGAGAAGGACAAGGGGGGACAGGATAGCAGCCTTCCAGTATCTCAGGGGCTGCCCCAAAGAAGAGGGAGTCAAGCTATTCTCCAAAGCGCCTGAAGGCAGGACAAGAAGCAACGGATGAAAACTAACCAAGGAGAGAAGCAACCTGGAATTAAGGAGGAATTTCCTGACCGTTAGAACAATTAACCAGTGGAACAACCTGCCTCCAGAAGCGGTGAATGCTCCAACACTGGAAGTTTTTAAGAAGAAACTGGAAAGCCATTTGTCCAAAATGGTATAGGGTTTCCTGCCTGAGCAGGGGGCTGGACTAGATGACCTCCAAGGTCCCTTCCAACTTTACTATTATTATTATTATTATTATTATTATTATTATTATTATTATTATTATTATTATCATCATGATGTGAATTCACAGCTTGAAATAAGAGATAAGAATTGGCGGGTGGGAGAACTGGAGGGGAAGCCTGCATTTCAAGCTAATTGGGGAACGTGATTTATGACTGTTAATTGGAGGAGGGAATTGTGCTTTGACACTACCTGCTCAGGGGAGGGGAATCCAGATGTTGGCTTCAACTATGTTAGTGCCAAAGCTATGCTACGCCAATAAAAGATTCTTTAAGGTAAGCAATGTCTCGAAGTTCTTTGAAGAGGTTCACCTGTCGGAACTGTGGTAGGTGAGTGGGTGGGCTTTGCGGGGGGCGGGGGGGTTGTAAACCTACTTCCCTTCCCCACCCGGCCTCCTCACCTTTTCTTTGGTGAGGTCCTCGTCGCCTTCGGGCTGCTCCACCCCAAATTTGTTGTCCATCTCTTCTCCCCCCTCGCAGATGTTCTTGCCTTTGCAGAGGTCGTAGACGTGCGTCAGGCGCTTCTTCGGCTGCCCCTTGGATTTGGTCAAGATATCCTTGATCTTCGGATTGTTCTGCCGGGAAAAGGGAAAAAACACACACAGGAAATGAGCCCCCCCAGCTCTCAAGATGGGGCGCAGGGCAGGGACCCCCCCCCAGCAGAGTTCGGGCAATCTCTGCCTTGATTTATTCGTAAAAATTGAATTGGCTGCCCATCTTATTCCAAGGTAATTCCGATACCTTGGCTTACAATCTTAAAAAGGTACGAAATATATATATATATTTTTAAAAAACACCCTAAGAGACATAAATAAAACACAGGTAGTCCTCACGACACCAGCAGAGCCCAAAATTTCTGTGGCTGGGTGAATTTTGCTCCCTTTTACCACTTTTCTCGCCTCCCTCGTTAAGCGAATCGCTGCAGTTGTTAAGTGAGTGACCCCGTTGTTAAATGAGAGACCCCGTTGTTAGATGAATCCGACTTTCTTGCTCGTAAAGGAGGTCGCAAAAGGGGATCACCTGACACCACCACCACCACCCTGGTGACGCCACGATCGTCATAAACAGGGCTTTTTTTCAGCCGGAACGCGGCGGAACCGCGTTCCGGCACCTTTTTCCGGGCCGGCCGCAACATCTGGGGGGGCGCGCTCGCACTCGCAGCTCTCTGCCCCTGGCCCGTTTCCTAGGCGACCCTGCCCGAGCAAGAAGCGGCAGAGAAGCCCCTCCCAAATTTTACTTGCATTCCTGTTCTCTAAAGGGGCGGTCCTAGGGTTTGATGAGGGCGTGGCCAGGTTTGGGTGGGGGCGTGGCCAGGGGAGGAAGGTGAGTTCCACCACCTTTTCTCTGAGAAAAAAAGCCCTGGTCATAAATATCAGTGTCCGAGCGTCTCAAATTTCGATCATGTGACCCTGGGGACATCGCAACGGTCGTAAGCGTGAAGAACCGTCGTTAAGTCGCTTTTTTTTCCGGTGCCGTTGTAACTTCGCTACGGTCACGAAACCAACTGTTATAAGTCAGGGACTATCTATAAAAGCAATCCAGCTGTATCCTGTGCGGGGCATAAACTTATTTACAGTTGATTTCTGATTTTCGATTCACGCGCGCCCGAACAGGGACAGCCAAAGGACCGGATGTGGCCCGGGAGGGGAGGGGGGGCTATAAAACGGGCAGGTCTGTTCCACGCTCTAATTTAGCCCCGACTACAGCTAGTCCTCAACTTACGACGGTTTGTTTAGTGACCAAAGTTACAACGGCACTGGGAAAAAGCGGCTTACGACCGTTTTTCACACTTAACGACCGTCGCAGCACACACACAACCGCGGTCACACAATCAAAATTCGGATGCTTGGTAACTGGTCCCAGATTTACGACGGTCGCAGCGTCCCATGGGGGTCACGCGATCTCCGTTCGCCACCTTCTGACGAGCAGAGTGAATGGGGAATCCGGGTGCAGTGATTCGCTGAACGACGGTGACCGGGAAGGCCGTAAAATGAGGCAAAGCTCGCTTTAGCAAACGCCTCGCTGAGCCACAGAGATTTGGGGCCAAAGGCTAAAAATTGGAGAAAACCTTCACCAGTAGGAAGAGTTTTGAATATTGTGGGGGGAAATGCATTTAAATAAAGAATGTAAACAGGACTTATGACGAGGCAATTGAGACGATCAACGAAAAGCAGCTTTATATTGATGTGGTTGTTGCTTGCAAAAACGTGAGAAAAAGGTTTGCACTGAATTGTCGTTTATTTAAAGAAGAATTGCATTAATTTAAGGTTGGCAAGAGAGAATATTATAGGAAGAGGAGGAAATCGTGGCAAGCTATCATATGGACTATAGAATTATAGAAATTAATTGTTATTGTTATTGTTGACCCAGACATGTTTACCAAATATTAAGGTGTATGTTAAAAATCAATAAAACATCTGGTCTTCAGGATACATATCTTATCTATCTCCATTCTACATCAACAAATTGAATAATTCAATACAATATTCTTATTTTCGTATAGTTTCCCAATAACGTAAATTCAGTAACATTTCTTCCATTTCAACATTTAGTCCTTCCTCTCTCTCATGTATACTTTCTCATATTTAAGCTAATAACTTTCATTCTTAACACTACGTCAAAACATATTTATTTACATTTCATCAATAAATCTTTGCATATATATGTCTTAATCACCTTTATCTAACCTTTATAAGCAACTGTTAACATTTATACTTCTAGATTTTAAATAGCCAAAATTGTTGCGAGGAATTGTGAGGAAAAGGGAATTGGGGTCATTTAAAACTTGGAAAGGATCAATATTAAACGTTAAACTTATATATTCATGGAAAATTAAAACTGGGAAAATTTACTAGGTTATTGATGGTCTATTATTATTATTATTATTGATGATCATCGCACAGCCAGCCAGATGTTCAGACTGGATCTGGCATTTTTGTCTACCTATCGAGTCCTTCCCAAGGACCTGGGATAGGCAGATGTGGATGTTTGACGGTATTACAGATCTCGTCGCAGGATGGAAGCAGTTCCTAGTCAGGCCACCTTTTGCAATTGACTAATGGCGAATTTGTCAATGCCGATGATGGTGTCCAAGTGGTGTTACAGTTGTTTTGGAATTGCACCCAAGGCACCTATTAACTATTGGTACCACCCTTGCTTGCTTTTGCCAGTCTTTCTATTTCTATTTGTAGGTCTTTGTGTTTTGTGATCTTCTCCAGTTCTTTCTCGTCTATTCTGCTGTCTCCAGGCACTGCCACGTCCACTATCCAGACTTTTTTGTCTTTCTTATCGATAATTGTTAAGTCCGGGGTGTTACGTGGCAGGTGCTTGACTGTTTGAATTCTGAAGTCCCAGAGCAGTTTAATTTTATCATTTTCTATGACTTTCTCTATTTTATGATCCCACCAGTTCTTGCTTACAGGTAAATGATATTTCTTGCAGATCTTCCAATGCACCATTGTTGCTACTTTGTCGTGCCGCTGCTTGTAGTCAGTCTGTGCGATATTCTTGCAGCAGCTTACCAGGTGGTCCACTGTTTCTTCAGCTTCTTTGCATAGGCGACACTTACTGTCGGTTGCTATCTTCTCAATTTTGACTTTGTGTGCCTTTGTCCTTAAGGCTGGGTCTTGTGCAGCCAGAATTAGTCCCTCGGTCTCTTTCTTCAATTTTCCTGCTCTTAGCCATTGCCAGGTCTTGTTATTATCTGCTTTCCCAGCTATTTTTTTTTATTTTATTATTATTATTTAGCTATTTTATTATAAAAGATGGAATATTAAAACAATTAAGACATACATAAACTAAGAGTTATTGATAAATGTAGGAAAGTTATTTTGTACCTGACTGATAGAATAAGAAGTATACTAATAAGAGACAGTACATATTAAGGGAAAAAGAGAAGAAACATTGGCAGAGATAGTTGGAGACTTGTATTAATCATTATCTATATGTAACTGAATTGCGGTCACTCAGCCGCCACGTTGTTTTTCAAAGGTATAGTTGTAACGTTAGAAAATCAATAAAAAAAGTTTATGAACGTAAAAATCAATAAAACGTTATTTAAAAAATAATAATAATAAAAATCCCAGGCTTCAATTTTTCTGAAGCTCGGGATTCAGCCCCATGTTTTTTTTTTTGGGGGGGGGGGTGTCTCGTTGCTCACCGAGTCGACCAGCAGCTTGGAGCAGAAGAAGCAAACGCAACGAAGGACTTTCATAGTTTTTCCCAAAAACCCGACGTGGAAGACGGGCTTGGCCAGCTCGATGTGGCCAAAATGGCCGGGACACTCCGTCATGTTGCCTGCCGGAGAGAAACGCAAGGCGTGATTGCCCCTCCCGGCCACATTTGAGCCTCCGCCCAGGTGAGGGCGCAAACCGGGGGACCTCACCTGCGCAGGTCTGGCACCGCCCGGTCCTCTCGATGACCCCTTGGCGAGGGTCCATCAGCCCCCCCAGTTTGGGGCGACCGCCTTCGGTGGTCTCCGGGTACTTGATGCCCGCTTCGGTCACCGACATCCGTTTCTAGGAAAAGGCAAGCAAGGAGAGGGTGAGCGGCGGGCGCCATGGAAGGAAGGGCCGTTGGTTAAAAAGCGTGAACGCGCCACAAAATGGGGGCGACCCCAGCGAGGGTGTTAATGCTTAAGCGAAGGGATTGGTTCGGTTTGGCCTAGCGGTTAAGGAAGCAGGCTGAAAACTGGGAGACGGGGAGTTCTAGTCCCGCCTTAGGCATGAAAGCGGCTGAGTGATTTTGGACCAATCACCAGGAGATGGTGAGCTCTAGTCCCGCCTTAGGCATGAAAGCCGGCTGGGTGACTTTGGGCCAATCACCAGGCGATAAGAGAGTTCTAGTCCCGCCTTAGGCATGAAAGCCGGATGGGTGACTTTGGGCCAATCACCAGGCGATAAGAGAGTTCTAGTCCCGCCTTAGGCGTGAAACCTGAGTGGGTGACTTTGGGCCAATCACCAGGAGACGGTGAGTTCTAGTCCCACCTTAGGCACGAAAGCCGGCTGGGTGACTTTGGGCCAATCACCAGGCGATAAGAGAGTTCTAGTCCCGCCTTAGGCGTGAAACCTGAGTGGGTGACTTTGGGCCAATCACCAGGAGCCGGTGAGTTCTAGTCCCAGTTTAGGCATGAAAACCAGCTGAATGCCTTTGGGCCAATCACCAGGCGATGGAGAGTTCTAGTCCCGCCTTAGGCACAAAAGCCGGCTGGCTGACTTTGGGCCAATCGCCAGGAGACGGTGAGTTCTAGTCCTGCCTTAGTCACAAAACCCAGCTGGATGACTTTCAGCCAAACACTAGGAGACGGCGAGTTCTAATCCCGCCTCAGGCATGAAACCCTGCTGGCTGACCTTGAGCCAGTCCCCCCCCCCCTCTCTCTCTGATTCCGGCCCACCTCACCGAGTTGTTGTTGTTGTGGGGAAAATGGGAGGCAAGTGTGTTGGATAGATTTGCCGTCTTAGACACAAACAATAAAGCTGGCTGATCAATGAAACAAATAAAAATAGCAAAATAAAATCTCCGATTAGGATACCCTCCCTCAACATCTCTTCTAAATCAGATTTATTGCCAATAAATAACAGGAGAGGGCATTTTTTTTGTCACCGCGCCAATAAAAAAGATTGCTCAGATTGTCACAACCGCACGTTTAACATCCCTCTGGATTGGTAAGATAATATTCGTTTTTGCCAACTGGGAAGAAAAATAAGCAGGAGTTACCCATTATCATTGGCAGAAAGGTTTCAGTGTTTCGCTCCCCCCTACACACACACACACACACACACACACAGGGGCTTTTGCAAAAAAAAGAGAGGGGGGGAACTTGAAAATCTGGCTTGGCAGAATTCTGGGCAAAAAGGGCCTACGGTTCGGGCAAAACTAAGCCTAAGCAGCAGTATTGTGGAATAAATAAAAGTAAAATAAATACTTTCAAATCAGATTACAGGAAGTCCTCCACTTAACGACCACAACTGAGCCTAACCACCACGGTTAAACGAATCACTGCAATTGTAAAGTTGGCAACGTGGTTATTAAGTGAATTTGGCTTCCCTATTGACTTTGCTTGGGGGGGGTCGCAAAAGGGGATCACGTAGGACGCCACAACCGTCATAAATGCGAGTCCGTTGTCAAAGGGCCGAATGCAAATCGCGTGACCGCGGGGGGGGACGCTGCAACCGTCTTAAATGTGGAAAAAAATGGTCATTTTTTCGGTGCCGTCGTAACTTGGAACGGTCACTAAATGAACCGTTTTAAATTGAGGACTTGCCTGTACTGGGTTTGTTTATATGCTTATTAAATTTATATGCTGCTCGTCTTACCGTTGCAGGGATTTTGGGTGGTTTACAAATGTAACAAAAAGATAAAGCAAATAACACAAAATGACACAAAACTAAGGGGATTCAATAAGTAACTTAAGTACTTTGTAGTGACTTCTTTCTCAGCCCGGCCCACCTCACAGGGTTGATGTGGGGGGAAAGGAGAAGGATTAGGAACAACCCCTGCCTTGAGTGACTTGTCAAGTAATAAAGGCAGGATAAAAAATTGAGTAAAACAATCTCAACAAGCAAACTCTTTGGAAGATTGTCCCCCCAGCTGCCAACTTGCCACCCAGGATAGAGAGACGAGCGGCATATAAATCTGATCAATAAAACTTAACTTAAAATCTTTCTTATAAAGTATGAATAGTGGGGGGGGGGGGCGATAAAAATCAGATCGGTCAATCTGAAGTTTCAGCAGGCAAAAATTCTGCCCAAATTTTCCAAGTGGCCAACCGCTTGGCCACTCTGGATAGAGCAGAAGAGCGGCATTATACATTTGATAATTTTGTTATTTTGGAATAATGCAGAATTGGAAGACACGGGAAGTTGGTGGGGGAAGCCTTTAAAAGGCAAGAATTGGGCAAGGTCCACCCTTGGGCCGGAGTCTTTATTGAGCCCGACTCTCTTAAAAATCAGGATTAAAAGAAATGGGGGATGGAGAGAGAGAGAGAGAGAGAGAGAGAGACCCCAATCCAGAGTGAAACCACTTTGGTTCCAAAAGGGGGCACCGATAAACAAATGGGAGCTTCCTTTTTCTATTTTTTTCTTTTTTGAAAGAGCCACTTGCACTTGGAATAAAAACTGCAAACCTCCCAAAAGAGAGATGGGGGGGGCCGTTTGGGAGAGTAGGGTGGTCACAGCCCCCTCTCTAAGTAACTCAAGACCCCTCCCCAAATTCCTTTTTTGCTTCTGCAAAGAAGCATATTTCCGCTTGCAAAAAAAAAAAAAGGTGCAAAGAAGACAAGACCTCCAGAAAGAGGCCGGGGGGGGCTGGCTCACCCAGAAAAACCCCTAAATAATCGAAGACACCCCTCCCCTCCCTCCAATTCCCCCGGAAGCGCAAAACTTGGCAAAAAAAACCCCACCCACCCCCCAATTTCTTTTTCATTTTGCAAAGAGGCATATTGACCCTTGCAAAAAAAAAAAAACTTGCAAAACCTCCAGAAAGAGGGGAGGGGGGGCGGTCACAGAACCCCCCTAAAGCGACTTGAAGACCCTCCCCCGTGTTTTTTTTCTTGCAAAGAACTGAAGCTTGCAAAAAAAAACTTGCAAAAGCCCACCCCCACCCCCCCAAGAAAGAGGGGAAGGGGGGGCTGCTTGGGATGGCCGGGAGGGTCATAGCATCCACCCTGAGTACCCCAAAACCCCCTTCCCATAAATTCCGATGGAAAAGCAAACTTTGGGGACCCCCCCTCCTCCTCCTGCCGCCCCCCTCCCCACCGTTGGACCACCCACCATCTCATCCGGGCTGAGGATGCCGAACTGCACGCGCTTGATGGTGCGCAGCGGGCACGCGCTGTCCCCGGAGGGCGCGCCCCCGTGCATCTTGGCGCCGGGCTCCCCTCTTTTTTTTTTTTTTTTTTCCCTCCTCCCCGTCCGCCGCCGCCTCCTCCTTTTTTTTTTCTCTCCTTCCTTCCTTCCCCGGAGTCACGTGACGCCGCTGCCTCCGCCTTAGTCCGTCACCAGCCCGGAAGAAGCCACAGCAGCCGCCGGCCCTTGCCCGACGCTCCGGGTTGGTTTGTTTTTTTTAACGCCGCCGGACCGAGCTCGTTCCCCACGCGCCGGGATGCGAGTCCAGCTCCCGGGAAAGAGGCAGCGGGCGTCCCGACGGCGAGTTGCCCCCCGACACGCGACCACGTCCGGCCGCTTCTCCCCTCCCTCCTGTCCGCTCCCTCCGCGCTCTCCGGCGCGACTGAGCGAAGGCGGCTCCGTCGCCGCCTTATATAGTCTCGCTCCCCCGCCACGGGGCTACAGGAGTACAACGGCAAGGGCGAGGGCGGCGGAGGGGGCGGGGCCGCGGCTGCGCGGTCTCCGAAGGGGAAGGGGGCGTGGCCAGGCCAGAGGGGAAAACAAGAAAAAGAGAGGGAGACAAGGTCGAACCAAATTGGTGGCTGGCGGGGGGGGAGGAAATGTACAGTAAATAAATGATAGAAATGTTATTTAGGCTTTGTTGCATTATTTTTTGGGGGGAAGGGCGAGCCAGCTGGGTCGTTTCCGGTATAATAATAATAATAATAATAATAATAATAATAATAATAATAATAATAATAATAATAATAATAATAATAATAAATTGTCAACCATCAGCGCCAGCCAATTTGAATGTTCAGTTGACTGAGGTTCATGTCTAATGAATAAAAGATAATAATAATAATAAAGTTGGAAGGGACCTTGGAGGTCATCTAGTCCAACCCCCTGCTCAGGCAGGAAACCCTGCCTAACTTTAGGCTCAGTCGTGCTTTTTATTATTATTATTTTTAAAACGCGTGTTGAACAGAGATCCGAAGGGTGCCCAAGGCAACTAGGACTAGGAAAGTAATCAGGTTACTAAAAAACATTTGGATAAAATATTATTTGGCGTGTTTGCTAGAATTACTTGGGGCTTTTCAAACCTTAAGTTTTTTCCCCAACTGTAATGCAATGGAAGCAGCTGGTATTTTTTTTGTGTGTGCAAAGACTGCAAGTTTATTCCAGAAAGGCATAAACCCCAAAAGCTTATTCTGTAGCCCAAGCCCTGCCATTGCTCTCAAATCAGCTTAACATACAATTTCCTTAATTATTCTTCTCTTTTTCCCCCCCTCTTTGCTAATGGTACAGTCCTTACGGAAAAAAAGCTCCTTTCCCGAAGATTTCCGACCTGCCTCATTGACTATTCATAAGCTCCGAAAAGGGCGGGGAAAAGAAAGCCGCCCCTTTTGGAGGAGGGGGTGTGGCCACCGGCCGAATGTTTCCGAAAATGGCCGAAGGGGCCCCGAGGGTGGAGAGTCGGGCGCCTCTCAGAGCCAGCTTTGATCGAGCGCGTCGCCGAAGAGGATGGAACGCTCCGAGTGGCGGCCTGCAAGGCCTCGGCCTCGCGTGATTCTCTCGGCCCGGAGAGGCGCGCGCTCGCCCGGCCGCTCCGCTTAGGAAAGCGCGCTGCTTCGGGGCCTACTTCCCCAACTGACTCGGGCCTTTGCGGAGGCTACGGAGGGCGAAAAAATAGGGGAATTACGGGCCGGAACAGGTGAATTAATCTCCCGGAGGAGCTTCATGCGGGCGGGGGGGGGAGATTTATTTCTGAAGGGGCGACTTTGNGTCCTCAGATGTGGGGCTGGGGGGGAGGGGAAGCTATCTGGGGGGGCTCCTGAGGCCATGAGGGGTGTGAGAGAGAACAGATTTGGTGGGAATGGAGAAGTGGGGGGGGTTAATAAAGGATTGGGGGCTGGGGGGCTCAATGTGGGGAGGGGGAGATTAAAGGGGGGCAAAGAGGGGCTTTCTGGCCTGGGGTGCCAGATTGAGGGCGTCTTGCTCCCTCCCTAGGCAAAAAGGGGGTCCCCCCATCCTATGGGGCAAGCTTCCCGCCATGGGGTCACTATGGAGTTGCGTTAGGCCCCAACACAATAAAATCTGGAGGGAGGGGGGGGAGAAAAGAAAAAAAAACACATTTTATTTTTGTATTTTGTTCCTAGCGGGGCAAAAAAAGCCAATGCTTTTTTTGTCTTCTTTCCCTTCCTTCCTTCCTTCCTTCCTTCCTTCCTTCCTTCCTTCCTTCCTTCCTTCCTTTCTTTCTTTCTTTCTTTCTTTCTTTCTCTCTCTCTCTCTCTCTCTCTCTCTCTCTCTCTGTGTCTCTTCCTTCCTTCCACTTGCTTGCCTTCTCCCTTTCTTTCCCTGTTCCTGCTTATCTTCATTTCCCTTTGTCTTTTTTACAGCATTGTAACCTTCATAAAGAAGCCTGAAAGAAAAGAAAAAAAACAACACAGAGGGTGAAATTTATTTATATATATTGCATTTCACAGCGCTGAAAAATATATATAAATTTATTTATATATATTGCATTTCACAGCGCTGAAAAAGAAGGGGAAGCCAATGCTTTTTTCCTTCTCTCTCTCCCTTCCTTCCTTCCTTCCTTCCTTCCTTCCTTTTTCTTTCTTTCTTTCTTTCTTTCTTTCTTTCTTTCTTTCTCTCTCTCTCTCTCTCTCTCTCTCTCTCTCTCTCTCTCCCTCCCTCCCTCCCTCCTTCCCTTCCTTCCTTCCTTCCTTCCTTCCTTCCACTTGCTTGCCTTCTCCCTTTCTTTCCCTGTTCCTGCTTATCTTCATTTCCCTTTGTCTTTTTTACAGCATTGTAACCTTCATAAAGAAGCCTGGAAGAAAAGAAAAAAAACGACGTGGAGGGTGAAATTAAAATATATATATATATATAAATATTGCATTTCACAGCACTGAAAAAGAAGGGGAAGCCAATGCTTTTTTCCCCCTTCCCTCTCTCTCTTTCCTCCTTTAGTGCTTCTCCTTCCTCTTTCTTTCCCTGTTGCCTTTATTTTGACTGTGTTTTTGACCCGATTAGAATCTCATTAATTCATTTATTTAAAAAAAGCAAAACCTGGAACAGGGAGACAGACAAGAAGTTGCCAGAAGCTCTGTCTCCAAATAACCAGTTTGGTGTTTTTTTTTAACTGCTCGTATCTTTGTTTTCTTCCTTCTTTTATTGTTCTGTTATTTTACTTCCTTTTTACTTTGGTGTTCTTTTACGTTTGGGAGCTGCCTAGAGTAGCCCCATGGTGAGGATAGATGGTAAATATTTATTTATAAAAATGTTTGGCTGCCCATCGTGCCAATCATAAAAATATGCATGTATTAAAACAAATAAATTAAAACCAAACATTAAAATCTAAGGGCATGTGGGGGGAGGGGGATCTGCTGTTTCTCGATCAATCACCTCCACTCTGCTATTAAATTTAATAAATGTATTAAATTTATTAAATATGTGTTTATTAATACATTAAATAGAATTTACTGACCCTTTAAAAGGGTTAAATGATCTGCTGAGGGAGTGGAGGAAGGTCTTTATTTAAATATAGGTAGTCCTTGACTTATGACCACAATTAAACTCAAGATTTCTGTTAAGTGAGACATTTGCTAAGTGAGTTTTTCACCATTTATGATTGTCTTGCCAGTTGTTAAGTCCATCTGGCCTCCCCATTGACTTTGCTTTTTAGAAGGTCACAAAAAGTGATCACATGACCGTGGGACACAGCGACGGTCATAAGCATGAGTCAAAGGTCGTAAGTGTGAAAAAAACGGCCACAAGCTCACATTTTTCAGTGTCTGTTATGACTTTGAACGGTCACTAAATGAACTGTTGTAAATCAAGGACTAATTGGTGGGATAGCAACTTTTTTTTTTTTTTAGGATTGCTGGCCGAAGAAGGAGAAGCAATCGGGACAGGCCCAAAACGGGATATTCAGGAAAAAGAGAGGAGAATCTGAAAGCATCCCAGTAGTCCAAGAAACGGATGGTAGTTGGGAAAAATCAAAATAAGGTATTGTTGGCACGGCGCATGCTGATGTTTCCATTGCTAGCACGAGCTTCCGTCCCTGCGCTGTATCCTTCAGCAGAAATTCGGAGGGAAATTAAAAAGATAAAAGAGATAAAATATATGCCACGTGTTTGTAACCTGGAAGAAAAAGAAAAAAGATTGACCAGCAGACTTTTTGGGAGGGAAGAAACGCTGTTCCATACGACGTACAAAAACACAGAGGGTCCCGGTGAAACGGCTGTGCTAAACTGTCATGGGGTTGGCTCGCTTTTGCTGCCGTGGGTTGTGTGAATGCGGACGTTGCGGTTTGTTCAATTGTATGCCGCTCAACTTGCCCTCAAGCAGCTCCGTGCGGCTGCCGATGTCGTAAACAGCTATCAAACAATTAAAAGGTTAAAACATTGGGTGTTAAATCTGTTTTGTGATGTTTGATTTAGGTGCGCCACCTGTATATACGAGGGGTCCTTTTAGCTCTCCGAGCTTGGTGGTTTTGTCCTGACTGACCACATCATTACAGTGAGCACTGATGATGTTCCCTAGTTGGGTCATGAAACGTCTGCAAGGAGACCACCAAGCTCAGAGAGCATCAGGGACCCCCATAGTCTTCCTTCCTTCCTTCCTTCCTTCCTTCCTTCCTTCCTTCCTTCCTTCCTTCCTAACTTCCTAACTTCCTTTCCTTCCTTCCTTCCTTCCTTTCCTTCTCCCTCCACTCTGCAACCCTCCTCCCTTCTAGCACTGATGACATTCCCTAGTTGGGTTATGAAACGTCTGCAAGAAACCACCCAGCTCAGAGACCACCAAGGACCCCACCGTCCTCTTCTCTGCAAACTCCTCTCCCTTCCAGCACTGATGATGTTCCCTAGTTGGGTCATGAAACGTC